TCATACACTTCATGACACATCTTGTAGTTACCAACAGCCCAAATTTTCTTCTTTTAACCTCTATTTAGATTTTAGCCCTTTTCCCTGATCCCCTCTGCATGCCACTCAGTTCTAACACTTTCTTATCTCTTTTTGTTGGTTGTTTTCTTTTTTTGTCTTTCCTCTTCCTCTCCTTTTTTGAAAATGTCCCTCTTTTGGTAGCTGTTACGAATTTCAGGTACCTGTTTTTCTCTTTCTCAGACACCACACGCGGTTCTGCTGTTAAAAGGTTTTCTATCTCATTTGCTCGACACCCAACCAATGGTACGTTTTGCTTTTATTTTAAAACGAAAACAAAAGGTTCCTTGCTTCATCCCTTTTATTTTTATTTCAAATATGGGGTGTACAGTATCATCCAACCGTCTGTCGTTCCTAACTTCAAGCACAACTCCAAATATATCTGTAATCATTAGATATCCTAAATCTCTTCTTTATCATCCATTAGTATAAATACGATGTCAAAATTCATTCATCAGAAAAATCTTCAAAAAATTGAAATGCTGCTGTTAATCATGATCTCTAATAAATTATTCTCCCCCATTTCTCATGTGATCAGACTGTATGGTACAAGATAAAAACAGAATCGTATCGGATCTTTATTGGGTATACACTTCTTGATAGCTGCTGCTGCTTCTTTGTCTCCTTTTGCTGAGCTATTTCCCTCCCATTCCAAAGCAAATAATGAGCTGACAAATCAACTTCATGACTGTCTTCTTGAGGTGATGCTAAATTAAAAAAAAAAAAAAGAAAAAGAATTAGAGCAGAAGTTCTAGTTCCATTCCTGCCGAATCACAATACCTGTCAATGAACCAAAAATTTACCTGATCATACTTCTCCTCTGTTCATTGGGTGTGCAAATTACTGCAATATTGCACTAAAAAATTACAGGGAAAGGGTTGCCTGTCGCTTCCATTGGCCTTTTGAGAATCAAGGATGAGAGAACTTGTCTTCAGTCTACTTTTTTTTTTTTTTAAAAAAAAAATATGTAGGAGTCTGGTTTAACACAAAGGATGGAGCTATATCTTTGTCTTCCACAGCAAAATATTTCGTGCCTAACTTTCTACGTGATTAAATAGACCCCAAATGTATCCTGCTCATGGAAACCACACGTGGTCTTCAGCATACACCAGATCTTAACGTACCTTTTCCAGATTTCTCAATTTCAGTTTTAAGGCACCCGACTGTGGGCCAAGGACGGTAATGATGATATATCATGGCAAGTGCAGTGGAAAGCATCAGCACGGTTGTGTTAGATTCAAAATGCACCTGTTTAGGAGTGAGGCTGAGGAAAAGTGAGTGTTCGCTTCATTTTGCCATGAAGCAAAATGCTCCTTAACTACCTGCATTTGGAGCTCCTAGGGAGCTGCACTGCGATGTTTCCTGAAGGAAGCTGGCGTGGCGTAGTAAGACTGACGTTTGGATTTGCTCTAGAAAGGCCCACTATAGCCTTATATTTCAAATACGATATGTAGGAACCTTTTCTTTATCTTTAGAATCTAATTGGATAGTATTTCCAAAACTTTACGAAGGCAGAAAGTAAGGGCTGCATTTGAGTATAGATGCTTATTAGCTGGATTACTTTCTGTTCCACTCAGCATTCTTTTGTGACTGCATTCTTTAAAAATAGATCCATCCAAATTGCTTTTAATGAATGCATTGGTGGTTCTGATTCATTTAATGAAGCTGTTTTACCACACATCTTTTCACGAGCTATCGCATGCCATGTGAGCTCCCATGAAACATAAAGGTTTCTGAGAGCTCCCTTACTAACATGCAAACATAGAGGTGTCATTTTGTCTGTCTCCTGGCCTGTCATTCTGATTCTCTGTGTCCCTTTCACTTTCCTCCTCTTCCTTTTATATTGTTTTCTCACCTTCTGACTCACTCCCCAGCCTTCCCCCTCCCCTCATCTTTAGTTCAAGGAACATGGTGAAACAATTTACCTTCTGACGGAGCTTTACCTTGTTTTCTGGGCCTCTGTGCAGAGCACCCACACCTCTTTAGGTGCTGGTCCGATGCCTCTGTGGAATTTCTAGGCTCCTGTGGTATGTGTCTCTAGCTCTTAAACCTAAGACAGCAGGGTGGCTTTTGGAAGTGCTGCGTTAACCCTTTCCTTGCCTTGCACTTGGAGGGCAAAGAGTGAATACAGCCAAACACCAAAGGATGTTAGTTTGCAGGAAATGGCTCCATTAAACGGATACTGTCAGTCTTCTTTGTTATTAAATATTTGGCTATGTTTCTCAAATTCATTATGCCTACCAGAACTCATCATAAAATTATCAAATAAAACACGTTAGGTAGATTTTCTGCGTTTCTAAGTCATATACTTTAGATATAAAAGTATTACAATACTGTATGGCTGGGGTATGGCTATCTGATAGCAGAGGTCTCCAGACCTGAAGAGGGAGAATTCCTAAAAGTAAAGAGCTGTTTTTTTTTTTTTTTCCTCTTTTTTTCAGGGTCCATTTTGAATTTCCTTTCAGGTTTTAAATATTGCACTGAAACATTAATAGGTATTTAAAAAAAAATGAACCTGACAGTGTCCCACTGCATTCTGTGCAAGAGTAAGATTGAAAAGTGAAAAAATGAATTCAGCTGCTGGTGACACTTCTGCCAGGATAGAGAGAGAACTCTTGTGCATCTTACTGCAATGCAAAGAAAGGGTTTGCGCTTTGCATGCATGCACAGTTATACAGGCTATTAACATGTGTGCGAGCCTTTCTAGTGCTTACACTAAAGCTTAGCTGCTGTCTTTTTAAGAAAAAAAAATACAACTGAAGAATGTGTTGGTGTTTCTTTTGCACATGGAAAGTTTCCCAGAAATGCAATGTTTTTCTTTACTTTAGTGAAGCTGGCATAAGCACGCTGCAGTTGATTGTATAGCTGGCGTGGCTCTCCCTTAAATTTGAGTATGGCCATGGTGCATCCAAATATGAACCCAGACATCCTTGGGTTGAAATTTTGTGGAGTTATTTTTTCTATGTAAATCACTAAGGGAGGATCAAATGGGGAACCCTGGCTAGCAGAGGAATATTGATGCTTGTTATTTTGTGGGAGGGAACAGCTCACAGTTAGATTGCTGTTTCTTTAAAAAGAAAAAAAAATGTACCTTGAACTGAAATTCTAAACATTATTTCATTCACTATTGTTTCTTCATTTAAGTATCGTAAAGGAAATGTAGCAACTATACATTTATAGTATTGAATGGAATGTTAAAGCTATATGTGAGAACGCTAATGGACACATTTTCCTCTCTTGAAATGCAATTGGATGAAGAGAGCTGAGTTATCCAACTTGCTCAGTTTATAGAAGTGCAGTTTTATGCCACGATGTGTTTAAATGCGTTTGATATGTTAGTAATACAAATATGCATGGTTGGTTTATGATAAATACTAATGTAGAAGAGTAATTCTACAGTAAATTCTAGATTTTCGTTTGGTATACTTACCTGTGCTAATATATAAAACTTTTAGTGTTTTAAGTACTGATTTTTAAATCCACAAGGTAGGTGTAAATCTGTAAACCTGTAACCTAAAAGTACATGAGTGCTAATCATGGTTTTCCATGGATACTTGAGACAACAATTGTTTTCACAGAATACTTGAGATGATAGAAGGCGACTTATTCAAATATTTCTCATTGAGAGCTTTAGCATTTTAGCTCTTCTGTCTCAGCCAGCTGTTGACAACACAGCTGTCCACTTGCATGAATGAGTTATCTGTTCAGTGTTCTGCCTCGGATGAGAATGAGTAGGAGAAATACTGCCATTTCTTCACTTCTTTTAGTGACTTAATCTTAAAGGAAGGTTATTCTTCATGAACTGATATGATGTTTGTAAACCAGTTTTGTATATGTGACTTGTACATGTGCATGGGACTTGTATCCCATGTTCCCGTTACATGGAACTTTAGTTTATTCTGGAAATCGGCCCACCTTTTTTCAACTCCATGTTGTATTAACATCAGGATTTCAGGAGTATTATGTCTGCATGTATTGATTATTTTAAAATAAGTATTTTGTTTTATGCATTAATGCTTGCCCATGCAATAGCTTAATTCCTGTCTTATGTTTGGAAATCTTCTTTTATTATTTTTTTTTGCAGGTTTTGAACTGTATTCCATGGTGCCTTCTATATGCCCTTTGGAAACCCTACACAATTCCCTGTCTCTAAAGCAGGTGGATGAATTTCTTGCCTCTGTTGCTGCTCCATCAAGTGAAAATCTCCAGGAGACATGTACTGCTTTTAGTTGTAATTATACTCATCTTAAATTGTTAAATATTTTCTAGCTAATCTTTTCACTATTTTATAGCAAATGATTAAACTGAGAATGTTGTTTCTTTTAAAGGAGAAAAGGAAGAAAAAAACCCACAACATAGATTAACTGCAGTATTAACTTTTTTGGTATCCTCTTGCTATATGAAAGTTATCATAATCCATTGAGGTAATTTCCCTACTCATTGGTAAAATGGACCAAAAATTTTATGAAATACTAGGTTTATTTTCTCACGCTAAGGTCCCATCAGTTGCAGCTGGATTATAGTGAATGCTTTTTACTACCACTGAATGCTTTTTACTACCACTGAGCATGTGCTTTCAGCTTCATGCTGTACCGCTGTCCTGTAAAGACGCAGTGCTGCTTTTTATACCTAGAAGCGCTGTGATGTCCTGTGTCTTCGACACTACTTGCTGCTTCACATGCAGGGGGCCCTGCAATTACTTTTTTTTTTTTCCCTTAATAAGTTGAGCTGCATGTTTCATGTTTTGTGTGATCCTGAAACAAAGTGCAAGTTCTGTCTGTGTGCATGTGTGGGGGAAGATGCTTTCCTCTTGCAATTCTCCCATTGCTTTTTGCAAACTGTTTTTCAGTTAGTTCCCCTTTACTGTTTAGTAGGATGGTTGTAATTTGTGTGCCAGGTAAGTGGAAAAACAGTTGTTTTGAGGAAAAGTTTAAAGAATTATACTTTCATTGAGAAAACTTGTGCGTGCTAGTACTGATACAAGAGTAATATAAATGCCAGGGGGTTTGCTTCTTTCTTAAAACTGGGGTTTTAAGTTTATATGCTTTAGATTTGAATCAGCAGCTAACTTGATAGTGCAGGCTTTCTGCATCTAGGAGGGAAGGTAATCTTAAGAAAACTGGTGTTACTGATAAATCAGCGCAGCTCATAAATATTTTAAAGTTCTTCGGTATTTAAAAAGTTTTGTTATATTGTTTAGGTTTGGGAAAGATGATGCCTTTTAAAAGCTGTAAAGAACTGTCAATTTACAAGAAGGGAGAAAATACCAAAAAAAGGTCATGCTGTTGGATTTTTGATAGACAGATACATGGTTCTGTCACTGTTATTTTTAGCATTTTGCTATTAATAATGGTATTTTTAATATTTGTGATGTGTATCTTTTCCCTGCCCCCTTTCAGCTTCTCCAACTTGCATGAGTCCACTGTCAGGAAGGAAGAGTTTGTTAAATACATACACCCCTGCAAAAATTCTCCCAACACCACTTGAAGCTTTGCCTGAAAGGCTAGCAGTAGAGAAAATACCCACATGTAAGTAACTTCTGGCAGAGGTAGAATAACAAACCTCATTTAATTGTTTCTTGCAGGATTTCTCTTCTTACATATTGTGTAATTTCTCCATTCTTTCGTAGCATTCCCTACATATGTAGGTGGGAGCATTTTAGTAGTCATGTAGAATTCATAGCATTGCCCATGTTATCCTAACAGTAAAGCTTTGTTAAAAGCTGATTTCTCTTATGCTCCAGAGTGTTTGAAAGAAATGTTGCAATCTGAAAATTCACATATTTTTGTCTTATTCTTTAAGTATGTCAGGTTTTCTAGTCTTTCTTAGATGAACAGAGGTATTTATTTAAATGACAGCATTGCAAATATGAATAGTAATAATGAACAAAAAAAAATCCTAACTGAAGATCTACTATTTACAAAATAGGGAAAAGAAGAAAAATGACCCGGGAAATTCAAATGGTTGATGCTGTGCATCTTGAAAATTGACTGTTCAAAGGCAGGATTCCTCACAAACTTTGTAACAGGGAAATTAAGAAAGAGGAAAAAGACCAATAAGACTCAAACAAAATCATTTTTTGATGTTTTGATCAATAACACTAGCTTACTGCACACACAAAATACACTTCCTTTACTGATTAAAATGTATACGCATGAGCAGGGAGCATATGTATGTGATTACAGTTAAAAGCTTTCTCCTTTTTTCTTCTTTTTTTTTTTTCATTTCATTTGACTACTTCAGAATTTTGCTGCTCATTGGTATGTGGGCCTGGAAGTTGCAACATTGCTTGAAAAGCAATTAAATAATAATTTTAATTATTTCATTTTTTGATCATTTCTCGACTTTAAACTACTAATGTGACCTTGCTTGATTCTTTTTTTTTTTTTTCCCTTTGAGTTGGGCTGTTTGTGGATGCCCCCCAGTTTGTCATTACTATTCCATGCTTTGTAGTTTGTTTCATCCAAATGTGGTTTTATTACAAACTGTGTGTTCAGATAAGAATCCTTAGGCATTTGCTCTAATGGTACATTTTGGATTTTTTCTTTAGCTTAGTACTACTGCTAAGTAGATTGGGTAATGTCCCTCCAACAGCGCAAACTCTTAATACCAAACAATGTTTATTTAAACAGAGAAGAATCAGACTGGTTGAGGTTGAAAGGGAGATCATCTAGTCCAACCCCCCTGCTCCAGCAGGGACACCTAGAGCACATGGCACAGGGCGGCATCCAGGCGGGTTTGGAAGATCTCCAGAGGAGACTCCACAGCCTCTCTGGGCAGCCTGTTCCAGGGCTCTGTCACCCTCACAGTAATGAGTTCCATCTTCCTCACACAGAGATGGAACCTCCTGTGTTTCAAGGAGCTACTAAATAAAAGATTTTCTGAAAGATGTTAATATTTCAAAATGTGTAAGTATAACTTGTAGGAAGTATGCTGTGGCATCTATTAGGAAGTTCCTCCTCCTCTTTTCTGTGATACTTGGGTGAATACTATTCTGTTGGAAAGGTGGCACCATGAGAGGTCAGTCGGAGCTCCCCGTTCCTGCTGGGTGAAAGCAGCTGACAGCTTTGGGTGTGTGCAGCACATGCAGCTTGAACTGCCAGCTGGCCACGCTGTCTGCTCTTGGGCATCCGCGCTGCTTTAAAGGCTTTGAGAACAAGGTCAGGTTGCATTTCGGGCCTCTTAAAGACAGCCCTGCTGGTATAAACTAGCTGGTCAAGCCTGCTCGGAAAGAACTTGCTGACTTTACTCTCTGTTGGGTCATGGAGTTTGAAGGTAAACACTGATATTTACTACTTTCTTTTTTTTTCCCCCCCCCTTTTTTTAAAAACTTTTGCTTAGAAAAAGTTACACTACTTTTGCTTAGACTTGTCTATGTTAGAAACCTTTCCTTGGGAAAGGTTGATAGATTTATGCGAATAGGGAAGGTTGAATTATTAGTCCCTTTCTTATACTTGAAATGATTTTTATTGTACTACAGCTCCAAGAATGTTTTTGTTTGTTTGCTCTTTTTCTGACCCCTGCCAGCTTTGGCTTTTCTGTTCTGAGTTAATTTCTTGCTTTCTAGGGTTTTCAAACCTGCTTTCTTCTGTTTTATCTATTAAAATCCAGGGTTTTTACTGATAGGCTCACTTGGTCAAACCAAGTACCTATCCTACTGATAATATGTGTGGTTTTGAGGTTTATTTGCTATTTTAGTGTTCGCATAATGAATTTTTAATAGTGATGGATTGATAAATGTGTAACTTAAAGGTCTTTTTACTTTAAGATCTTCTACTTATTGTAACATTGCGTATGTTTCTGTGCTAGGTAACTTTTGTTGCATTTGCTTTGCTTTTAAAATCTTTTTACCATGGATGTTCTTATAAACATAAAGAAAATATGTATAACCATAAAGAAAAAATAGAAAAATATCTATAAAATCTAATAATTTCTTCTCTTATCTTTGCAGCTACCAGTGGATCTGCTGGCTGTGAAACTAGTGTTAAGCTGTCTCCAGAAGAAACCTCCCACAATGTAAAAGTTAGTGCTGAAACTCTTTCTGAGAAGAAATGAAATTGGTGAGAAGAAATGAAATTGGGCAGAGAAATTGGAAGCACCTTCTTAAACAATTCTGTAATGTGTGTTTGATTGTGGAGAAACAGACTAAATGATGGTTGAGCTTTCAAAAGCCATTTGTGTCTGCATTTCATAGTGCACTTAATCCCATATAGACTAAGGACAACTAGTGTGTGCTCTACATATTTAGGTCAAAGATCTCAGTTTTTAAAAACATTTAAGGAAATATTTATCAGCTGGATAAACTGCACACCTTTAATGGAAAAGCTGCACAATAATCTTTTTCGTGTCTTCAAATATTTGCTATAAACATGTACAAAAATATAAAACCTGTCCAGTGATATGTTATGGTGGCATTGTTGATGCTGCTGTAATGAAGCATTATCTGTTGTCATTATAAACTTCTATTTTCAGGAGTTTATAATTTGCCTGTGAGTTTCTTTTGGGGGCTGAAAGGTAACACATGTCTTTGATAGGAGCTTTTTTTTTCTCTCTTTTTTTTTTTTCTTTCCTTTTTTTTTTTTTTAATTTAACTACATTTCCAAAGAAATCACTTTGCCTCTTTTTGAGAGTAAGCAGGTGTTTTCTGCATTTGAATGATTTTGTATCCTATGTGCTGCAATAACTAGGCATAATGGAGTAAGTTGATGTATTTTCACTTTGGAGTCTCCATACTTTCATTCTGTGTTTACATCAGACATAAAACATTCTAAAATACCTTCTCTTTTGCTGTTTAATATTTGTACTTGGTTGCAGCTGGTCTGGTAGTAAGTTTATCCTGAAAATTGTAAATATCCCATCTATGTTTTTTTAGCAGTCCTTCAAAGCAGACAGGGACTGTGGTCCAGCCAGAACTCAATGCTTGACGTTACATGCAACGTGTAACACAATACTCAGGCTCCAGGATGGCCCTGTTGGGGTTTTCATACCTCTCTCCTAATTCAGGTGGTTGTCAGCAGCTCTCATTAAAAGTCATTCAAGACCTTACAAGAGCTGTGAGAAGCTTTGGCAAGTCCATTGTGCTTTGAGCCATTGGGTTATGTAGAGGAATCCTCCTGTTTCAGTGGTTCTCCTGATTTGCTGTGGCATGACAAATTTCTGAATGTTTAAAATTATCGCAAATGTATGTAAATATTGTCCACTGTCCTAAGTTCAGGTGGCTGATTATTAATAAATGTACTAAACTCCTGGTTAGCTAATTCCTTTCACATTTAAGTTGCAGGAGAGACAACTTCCAGGTAGTATTTTCAAGCAAATAAGGCTTTTGCCACAACTCTAATGATGTTCACACCGCCACAGAGTCCGAGTGTTTAAACTTACAGTAGGTGAAATTGTTTCAACACACTAATTTGACAGAATACCAATTAAATACCAAAAATACGAAGCATTTCACAGTTCTGTACTTAAAACATTTCATTTTCTATGGTGTAAATGTGTTATTGACTGTGTTTGTCTTGCACACAACTGAATGTACATGTTATGTTTACCGTTGAAGAAAAATATTGTTAAAACTTACATATGCATATCATTCCAGTCAACCAAAGCTGTGGCATAACTTTTTTATGTGCTCCTAAATAAAAATACAAGATCCCTGGCAGCTTCTATCCATTTTGTTTTCTCTTTTATGAGTCTATGTGAAGTAGTCTCAGTAGCGAAGAATAAGCTATTAATGTATGGAAAAGCCAAAATTTCTCTGGGCAGTAGGTGAAACAGCTTGTTAAAAAAAAAATAGGATTTTATCATTCTCTGTTGTAGAAATCAGCTTTCAAAAGGGTGGACAGAACAGTCACTTACTCTGCAGTGCTTTCCAAAGGTCTTGCGTGGTAACATCAAGTATGTAACAGCTGTGAGTGCTTCTCTCTTTCCTCTTACTACTCTGGCCGTAAGGAACAATGTGGTCTGTGTCCAGCTGCTTGGCTGAGTACTCTGAGCTTCAGAACCTGTTTTAGTCCAGTTTTATTTAGGCAGTGGGACTCTCCCTGACATTAAACTTTGGACTGTACGGCCTGTTCTGGCCAGGTTTGAAAGCGAGGGGGTCTCAGAGATTGAGTTCACATAAAGCCAGTGCTGGAATATGGCTGTGATTCCTGTAGTACTCCCATTCTAATATGTAAATTAAGTAAACGTTTAATATCTATTTCAAAAAGGAAGCATTTTTGCCAGAGATCTTCTGGAGAAAAAGCAAAGTTTTTTCTTTAAATGCATACTTTTTTTTCTAAGCCTTATGTTATCTGTTTTATGCTTTTAAATTATAATGAAGACATAAATTTAAGCTTTGTATATAGTTATGCTAATAGGTGAAATTTGTTATGGGAAAGTGCTTTCATATTTCAGATGAGTGGGAAATTTAGTGGGAAGGCATATGAAGTAGCATGGGGAGAGTGGAAGAGGGCCCATCTAGAAATGGATGCAAATAGTCCACAGGGGACTCACCAACAGTAGCAAGTGCAGCAGAAGATAAAGGCAGGCAGCAGGAGACGTGAGACACAGCAAAGACTGGGAGCTGTTTCAACGCACTGTAACATGCATGGGGCAGAACGCAGGTGCCTAGCAAAAAATAAACATTTAAACTTGTATTTGTCAATACAGAACAGCGCAGTATCTCTCAGCATTTAAACTCATCCTTTTAAATGTAGCAGTGCTGTTGTCTAGTTGAATACAGATCCTCTAGGAAAGGCAGAAATCCAGTATTTGACCTCTCAACTGCTGGCAATCTCAAAATCTTAGAAGAAGCTGAATGTTTTTGCATTCACAAAAAACTTCCTAATACCTGCTTGCCTCTAGAGAGAGCAGGAGGGCTGAAAAGTTTTTTACCCTAGCACATAGTGTATGAATGGATATTCCAGTCCAGACTTACAAGAGTTACAGATTTTCATATGACTGCTGTTAGCAGCTGAGAGATGACAAACATGATCTTTCTGAAATAACACTGAACTCAAGTTAAAATCATGTTGTTGTCTTTTCCCGAGCTACACCGACAGCACTGTATATTTATCCATCTGTTGCAAAGACATTGGAAAGGAAGAGCCTTTATCTTTTTTGAAAATGATCATAAGTTTGCTGATTGTTTGCTCTTTCATAAAGAGCCTCTTTTGGTGATGTATATAGGACTCTGTGTCTGACAGTTGCTAGTAAATTCCTTCTGGTAAATGAGAAGTAAAAGGGAGGGGGGGAAAAGTCACATATTTTATGTAGGTATCTCAAGTTTAGCTTGAAAGGGAGAAATTGAGGTTATTTTTGGCCTGAATACATTTATCCAACATACTTTTGAGAAATCCATTTTCATGCAACAGTCTTGATCCATATAAGCTGCTGTCTCTGAATAAAACAGAAATACCATCAAAGCCATCCTCTGCAGCATCACACTACGTATTCCCATTCTCTATGCTAGAAGGGACAGAAATCAGCAACAAAGGAAAAATAAGATAATTGGGTAATGTGCATTTTATAGCAGCCCAAGGATCATGTTAGTAGTGTCGCAACCTCTTCGCTTCCAAAAAAGCCTATTTGGTCTGGGTGGGTGCGCACGTCCCACTGACTCATCTCTTTTTGTAACGCATTTCTCTCCAGAACAGGAGATAGCTATTGCTTTCACTTATTTATTACTATAATATATGGCACTAAAGCTCCTCTTTGTTAAAAATTACATATATATATACATATAATATATAAATCTTTATGTAAAGATCACTCGAGCCTTCTGCTTTATTTGCCTTCAGATTCTTGAAAAAATTCTAATTTTTCTTTGGTGGGACAGAGTTAAGCTGGAATATTTTTGGACTTAAAACATTGCTTCAAAAGCCTTTCTAAATGATCTCAAAGGACAGTAGTCTGGGAAATATTTAAAATTATTTATGAATTTGACCTAAGGGAAAGCAGTCATTTTTAAAGAAGACTTGCATAGTTAAGTGAAGAGTTATAAAGTACTGAGCTCGGCACAGGGGAAATCAAACCAAAAGTGATACTCTACTTCTCTTTCCCAGTAATTGTTAAATATTACCATGTTGGACAGTCCATCTTTCCTTTTTCATGTTTTTTTTTACCTCCTCTGTTGGATACAAAGGAACAAATTCAGCCTTTCATGAGTAGCAATAATTCCTCCCAAAGTCAGCTTAATTATGCTAAAAGCAAATTTGGCTCAGAACGGAAATCAAGGAATATTTTTCACATTCTCTAAAATTTGTATTACTACTGCTGCATAAAAGATAAGGATAGGATTTTATTCAATAGCGTACTTCAGATATTCAGGTTAGATTTTCAGTAACTTCCTTTTAACTTAGCCAAATGTCCTTTTAATATCTGTTTAAAAAATAACTAAGCTTTTGGGTTGGGTTAGCAAAAGTTGATAAATCTTGTGGCAATAGATAATATTGCTACTTCTCACTGTTGACTAAACAGAAGAACATTTAGGGTTTTTTTTGTTTTGTTTTTGTTTTTTTTTTCAGTGGAAAAGTTGTAGTGTTTATTTCAAACATGCTGCTCTCTGTTGCTGCACTGCTAGCCTTTTGCTGCTTTATTCCATTGTGGTGGTAGTTTTTGCCTAGCTAATTGCAAGTTTAGGAAGCTGTTATTCAGTTTCGAGTATGGAATATATGTTCTCTTATAACCAATCTTTGTTTAACTTGCCTTAGAATTTTAAAACTAATTTTGCCTACTTTTAAATTTGATGCATGTATTTTTAATATTACGTACTTTTGTGAGTTGAAGATGTTCCAAGAATTGTGGCCTTTTTTTCCTTCTTTTTTTTTTTCCTGAAAACAAGTATTTTGCATTTTATCTTGAAAAAGATATAGTTTTTATCTTATAGTTTTTATCTTTATCTTATAGTTTTCCAACGAAAGCAGGGCTTCAGGATACAGGACTACAGTCTTTAATATGGGAAAATGGACTGGATATTTAATAAAAGATGTTGTTTGTCCTATTAGGCTTTGGAATTAAATTCATGAAAGAAAGAGAGTGCAGATTCTTTCAGTGGCTCAGCTTTCAGCCTTCATGAT